CATGTGAAACCTTGACACTCAACTTTTGTCTGTGTAGTAGAGAAGCAAGAGGCTATTTATTGCATTTGTGAACATGTATGTAAACATAGCCATAACCCAATAAAATAGAAAACCAGCTCCCCAAGTTTTCCAGGTACTGAATCTGCTTTGTACCACTAGCTTGTTGAGTAAAATAAGTTAACAGTGCAATCAGAAAATTACGTCTTTCCAAACTGCAATTTATAAACATTGTAGTTACTTGTGCACGTAGGGACAGGAGGAGGTAAACTGAAGTCCAGACTAAGATTTAGAACTAAACCTTGAATTCCACTGTGTACCTAAACCAAATGTAACCAATTTATCTTCCTGGCACAGCAATCAGTAAATGCCAAATCCCAATAAAACCCAAGTAGCAAATGAGGGTTATAATGTGTAGTAAAATCTTGAGTAGCTGGAGGCAATACATTTGGTTTCCCATCCTGAGAAGGATCAGAAGATTTTGTAAGACACACTATCTAATGCTGATTTCCCTAGATCTTACCAAGTCGATTTTCAGCTGAGATCGGCACATTGGCGAACTCACGGTGGCTAATGTAAAGACTGGGAATTGAAATGGAATGTGCATTGCTTGTCCTCAATACCTCAATACCACCACTGTTTATTGAGGTAGGTGTATTTTCCTGTTATTTGGAAAGGGTTATCAGGGAAGTGGATGCCACCTTTCACAACTCACCTGCCTAATGATGGCTCTCAGGGGAGCTGACGTTTACTGTAATCAGTGTAACAGCTGAACAGCAGTGATGAGTTCCAAGAAAAGGAAACACCTGTATTTCCTCTCCCATTTTGGTTGATCAAATAGAGAATCCTCTGGCTGAAACCTTGAAATATTCTATTCTTCATCCCTCTCTGATATGAGGTCTTTATCATTTTTTTCCCTGGAATTACGAAAATTTTGCCTACAACATAGTATTATTTTTAGTGCCTATTTAAAATATGCATTATGTTTTCAATACTAAATTATTTATTTATTTTTTCTCAACGACTTGCTGATATTCTCTTAGATGGTACTATATGTAGCCTGTGCATATAATATCTATACAGAAAACACAACCAAGTTTCTAATTTTTTACCACCTTCAAGAGTTATTTTTCTCATTGTCAGGCCAGAAAGGGGAAACATTATTTCCCTCTTCTCACGCAGTCTTCTTCAACAATATTTTGTCTGTGTGGTTTTCTTCCATGCTGGCCATATAATTATCACTTTCTTATCAATACTCATGTTTGAACTTTCAATTTCCAATAAATGGATCTTATCTTAACAATTTTCCAGACAAACCTACTTTTACAATTATCCCCTTAAAGGAAAGCTGCTACATTATGTGTAGTCAATGAGTTTTTTCTAATCACTTTTTCTCTTTTCTTTTTAACTTGCTGCAAAATTTGAGACATTTGGATAATGCTGTCAGTGTTACAGTAGCTTCCACACCTATGTAGGTTCACTTTTTTCCTCATCATAATGCTAATGGGTCTGTCTGTGCCGTTGTTTTCTTCTCCAAATCAAGAACATATTCATAAAGGAATTCTAACTGGCTTGGTTCCTTGACTCTAGTGTGACAACTGCCTTCCCCCCTTTACATTTAACAACTAATTTAAATCCACATTTTTATACAGATACATGTATACATATTAATTTTATATATATGCATATGCACATATATACACAAAAATTTTAAGTGAAATTAGCTTTCAATTACCCTGCTAGTGCTCATAAAAATAACCCCACAGGTATTCGATAAGTGAAATTAAGTATTTTATTCTTTTTTTTAAAGCATAATAGGATGAAGCAGTCGAAAGATTAACTTGTAATGTTGCCGCTGTTGGAAAATTCTATGGAAAATTTTGCCTACATAGACAAAGGTGTAAAATCAAAACCCTCACAGACTTTTTTTGATACTAGTAATATCTAAGTGTGAGAAAGATATTAATCCCCTTAGTAACTGGATGTTTAGCAAAAGGAGGATATTTGAGAGAAAAGGTTAAATACTAAAATTTATTGGTATTTATCAGGAATCTTTTAGATATACAGGGAAGAAATGTAAACTATACTACAGATATTTTGTTACTGTATTGATTAAAGTTAGTACTCTAAAAATTCTTAGTCAATAGATATTTTTCAGTAAACTGACTTTGAAAACGTGTCATTATAGGTGCTTAGAAACTGTCAGATTTTGTTTTATTCCTGCTTTTTTATTGAACAAGATGCATAGGATGTACAATAACATTTCCATTCCCATCCTAAACAGATAACATGCCTGTCATTTGAACTAATAATTTTAGGCAAAATATATTGTAAGAAAAAATCTAGAAGTAAAATCCCAATCTGCTTCATTTCAGAGTTCAAGTTCATTATGTTCTTGAAGAAAGAAGTCAAAACTAGCTATTCAACCTCTTAGATAAAAATGTGTTTTATTAAAACAAATGTCAAGATGACAAAGTATTCAAGATGATAATTTAATATTCAGATAAATAATGATGTGTTAATGTAACAAGTAAAAAGGACTGTTCCTTCCCTGCTTATCATGCTAATGTCTGCTGCATATCACAAGACAGAAATTAACCCTGTATCTGTGTAGTCTTTTCTGACTCTTCTCAGAAATACTGTATTTAACCTAGGTGATATTTCCAAGCTCCTTCTACAATAAAAACCCTGCAACCCTCTTTACATAAGATAAACCCAAAAGGGAGTCTGTTTTTGAAATTAACATTCCCTAAAATTTCAAGACACCCACAGATCAATAAACCTTTTTCTTTTCTAGTATTTGATGGGCAGTGAGACCTTATCAATCTCTCTGCCCATCAAATTAGCCTCTCTGTTTTCAGTTTGATCTTTTGGCTGACTTTCTTGACACAGTCCATGTCAATCCCTTTGGAACACAGTGATTGATGCTGATGAGAGAAGAACACATTAATTGTGGACTGCCCTAACAGATAACATGACCAACAAGCTATTCAGGACAAGAAAGTTATTTTTGCTTTCCACTGGAATTCTAAAGAAGAGGAAAAAGCCTTACTGACCATGCGTGCCAAGAATTACAAAACAGCAGAGATCACTCAATTAACATGTTAGCCTGGTGGGACATTGTAACAGTTGTTTATATTTTTCTTGTCTTTTTTTTACAGTAATAAAAGCGAAGAGATACGTTTACAGTAAATTGTGAGAATGAAAAAGGAGCTCCTTAACTATTTTTTGTCTACTAGGCATTTAGTCTTCCTTCTTTTGAGACAGGAGCATTTCATTGCCACTGCCACAACTGATGTTATAAAAACTGTTCTGAAAATGCCCAAATGCAAGTGTTATCTTCAATTGCTGAATGTCACAAACCACTTCCTTTCTGTGACTTCAGGAGACAAGAGTGAGACACAAGTGTCTAAAAATCTGAGTAACTGTACTGCAGATGAAGAATTGAGAATCAAGGGTAAATAAAAATGTACCTAATTGTTTATTATGTTTTATTTATTCTAACTACCCACATAGTTAGTCGTTATTGTTGTTGTTACTGTTTGGTTCTGTTGTTGTTGTTATTATTATTGTCATTCATTTATTATGATTTGTTGATCTTCTCATGAAGAAAGCAGCAATCAATATAGTACTACCCCCTCCCTTATGAGTTGTACTTGGCACAATTCCATATTAATCCATTAATTCCATATTAATACAGTTGGACCAGAGACAGGGAACTGAAAATTTGTTGACTGGCTGAAGATATTGTGTAAGGGAGGTGAAAGCACTTTCCTTCCTCAAATCTATTATCTTGACGGCAAGTTTACAGCTCAGTCCTATAAATTTTTCTCTCCTTCTACAAAGAACTATTTTTTTCCTTCTCATGAATCAGATTTCTCTGTTTCCCCTTATTACAAATTTCTTAAAAATAAATCCCCGTTATGTAATAGCTGTGATGCACAACACGTGCATACTTAATTAACTGGTTTAATTTACTAGACAGGTACTCTGTGATAAGTAGCCCATCACAAAATGGTCACATTTTCAACTCTTGTGCTATATCACAGAAAAATTAATGGCAATACTGTCGTATGGGAACAGACTGCATTCTAAATGAATTTTTGATCACTTTACAGTGCACTGAGCTTTACCCTGAATATTTTTATGTATGATTTGTTTACATAGTTTTCTAAAATATATGCTGTTCCTTTTGAGGGTGTTGTGGCTGTTGTCCATTCTTACTATGGTCTCTAGCAACTAGAACCTCAGAATTTCAGCCTTTAACTTCAAGCTGTCTGTATGTTTGCTTCTTTAAAAAAAAGTGTGGAAAGAACAGATTTCTCAAGACACACAGCTCTAGCTCTTCATCCCATGGATCCGATTACCTGATACACAGATGTAGAGAAGAGCAGCAACTGTGCTCATGATGCATTTTGCAAGAAACCATCTCTATTCATCTCTGTTCAAGCAAGGAATCTTGCTCTCTTTTTTTAAGACATTGCAGTGCCTTCCAGTAATATGAGACTGCCAAAGGATGAACTTGGAGATAATCAGATTACACAGTTTGTTCCAAACTCTGCCACCAGCCTTCTCCATAACCTTGTGCAAATATTATTTTTTTATGCCTTCATTTGGACAATAGGATTATTATATTTTTAGAATTTTAGAACATTGATGGATACTAGCTAATTCTGTGAAGCATAACAATTCCATTCCCCCTTTTATAGTAAAATGGGTAAGATGCAATCAGATTAAAACTTTATATATATATATATTTATGTGTATATATATATATGCATTAAATAGGTTAATTTTAAAAGATTAGGCATGATCTTACTTTGACCAAACAATCCAGTTCCCTTTGACTTTAGAAAAAGAAACACCTATTGAGGCAGCAAGGTAGTCTCTAAAGAAAATCTACTACGAATTCTTGAATTAGAATAATGCACAGCTAACACATGATTAAATACAGCTGAAATGAGAATTATAAATGATACAACCCCAAATTTTCTTTTTCTTACCTGCTGGTTTACGGGAAAGTTCCTGTTGATTTTTTTAATCTATAAAAATAAATGAAAAAAAAATTAATAGTCATTAAAAAAATAAAAATTGGAAACAATGTTTATTATGCAAATAAAACAAAAAGCAAGAAAATCTCCTGCAGTAAAGGGACTGAAATCTTTGACAAGCTCCTGTGAATAATGGGACATTTCTGTGGTCACTGTGTGGTTCATTCTGCTGTTCAGAATACCAGAAAGAAGAATACATGCAAAATTATTTTCTGAATTCTACAACACTATGTTTTCTGGTTTTTTTCTGCTTAGAAGCTATAACATAAACTAGAGCATTTAACTACATAAGTAATTCAGAACAACTGCCATCCACCAAAGTCATCAAGCTTTAAGCAAATTCCTGTCCTTAAAGCATGATGGAAAACTGGGCTGGAACAGCCTTTGAAACATCCCTTGTATTCTAGGTCCAAAATCAAGTCTGCAAAATCAGTTTTGATAATTGGTCAAGGTATTTTTTTCTTAAAACATTTAACAATACCCCTAGGTAAAGAGAAAACCAGTCTGAGACACCTGGTTCATGAGGAATTTTTAGTAGCCCTGCAGATCATTGACTTCATCTAAATAAACATTGCCAGCTTTCTGACATAAAAGTGTCCAATACAAGGAGAATTATGTGTGGAACATACACATTCCTGCCATTAGTAGAATAAAAATGTTCTTTTTTATTTTAAGCATAAGCCCTGAAAGCTTTTTGCAAACCTAGAAAATCTACCATGTGCATTCATGACAGATACTTCGTACCTAGAATTTATTCTTTGCTCTCATATGCTAACTTTTCACAATTGTTTTTGTAGCTATGGGTAAATGAGTAAAACACATCTTTAAATTAAAGGCATTGTCAACTAGGAATCAATTGTATAGTCCTGAAAGCCCTGAAATGACAATGTAACAATTACACTGCTTCAATCAAAGGTATGATCACCTTTTTAGAAGAAAAGAAGAATCAAAACTGAATTTCCTCCAGTGTTTACAATATCATCTCTAAACAACTATATGCAGGGATGTGAGTGGCACTGTGTTTTGCAGGCTTTATAAAAAGAGTGTTTGCTGAAGTGGTAACCTCTTTGCATTCTTCATGCAAATACTGAGAAAGTCTGTAAGTCTCTGTCCTGTTTTCAGCTAGGATAGAGTTAATTTTCTTCCTAGTAGTTGGCATAGTGCTGTGATTTCAAGTACTATAAGAATGTTGATAACACCCTGATGGTTTAGTTGTTGCTGAGCAGGGCTTACACCAGTCAAGGAATTCTTCAGCTTCCCCTGCTCTGCCAGGTGCACAAGGAGCTGGGAGGGGGCACAGCCAGGACAGCTGACCCCAACTGGCCAAAGGGCTGTTCCATACCATATGATGTCATGCTCAGTACAGAAACTGTGCAGAGCTGGCCAGAGGGCTGTGACCACTGCTTGAGGATGGGCTGGGCATCAGTCAGCGGGTGGTGAGTGGTTGCATTACTTGGTTCTCCACAGTTTTTTCTTTTATCTCTCTCTTCTTGTTTTCCATTATTATTATTATTATTATTATTATTATATTTCAATTATTAAACCGGTCTTATCTCATTATCTCAACCCATGAGTTTTCTTTCCTTTACTATTCCGATTCTCTTCTCCATCCTAATGGGAGAGAGGGTGAGCAAGTGGCTATCTGGTGGTTGGTTGTCAACTGGGCCTAAACCACGACAGTCTGTCACTGACATCCCCCAGTTTTGCTATCAAAGAATAATTCTCACTGTCAAGAACATGCTGGCAAGCAATTTCAGTGGGTTTTCAAGTGTAACATGAATAAAAAGTGTCAGAAGAACATTTCCATCCCTCCCTTCTTGCATGTACATCAGCTTCAGTTTCCTCCTTTCTTCAATGTAAATTAAGGGGAAGCATTAGAGAGCTAGGACATTTGGTGGACAAAGTACTAAAATAAAATGAATCCACACTTCATAAGATGCCACCTATCTTACATGGTTTCTTTAAAGAAAGGGTGGATGAAAAACTTGACGGTTTGACAGAAAAACAGAGATTTCAAGACTTTGGGGATTTATTCCTAAATCTGACGTGAAATACTCCAGCATGATAAATCCATGTTTGTGTTAGTAGGTGCTATTAAATTCTTTGTCACAACTGTATTTCCTTCTAGTTTAAGTAAAGATTACAGCCAATACCAGGGAAAAATTTTTTATGAAAGAACATTGTCAAGAAAGAGAGATCTTACTATTCTAATCAAAATACTGAAAATATATCTTTATGGGTAAGTTACAGTTACATATTAAATACTTTGATAGTATATTCGTTTACTTCATATATTGAGATTAATTTTTGTAACAGAAATGAAGCACATTGTGGATACATTCCTAGCAGAATGAGGACATCAAGTCCTGATAAGGGCGGAATGCTATTAAAGGGGAAATGCTTAGCTAGTATACGGAACTTAGTTGCTAGAGTAGAGAAGCAGTAACTGCAAGCAGGATAAGATGATGACAATGAAATAACCAGTGAGTGAGCTGGAGGCCTATATATGCTTGTTGGATAGACAGTAGTATGTACGAATTAGAAAAGTGTATGTGATCGTGTGTACGGGGCATGGAAGAATATAAAAGCTGTATACAAAGGTATAATAAACGGCTTCTGGAGATCATATTGGTTGGTGTCAGGAGTCTGGTCTTCCGCAAGTGGCGACCCTGACTTGCCTACGACGGGACAATGATTTATGAAAAGGCGGAAGGACTTGGCTGGTGAGGACGGAGTAGCTGGACTACCCAGGATTTGAAAGAATATTGGAGACACTGCGCAGTGGAGCACTTAAGAGAAAGGTGAGCAGCCGAGGCTGGGAACATGGGAGCGGTTTTAACTAAAGAGGAAAAGGCAATACAGGACATGTTTCAGCATATTCTCTCTAGGAGAGCATTGAAATATGATAAAAGGACTTTAAATCCCTTATTGTGATGGGGACAGTCACACGGTTTCTTTGCCTCAGCCTGAGATGTTTTTGATTTGGACCTCTGGGATAAGCCGGGAGCCGTGTTGTGGGATGAGGTTGGCAATGGGTCTAAGGAGGCTGTCGCTTTAAGTTCGGCATGGAAACTCATTACTACGGTGCTCAAGGAACTAAAAGCCGAACGATCGGTACCTGCCTGTGCTGCAGAAGCACTAGACCCGAAAAATATCTATGCAGAGGCTTTCCCGGCTGATGCTAAGGCGTTTTTGGGGGATGAAAATGATCTGTTCGGTATCCCCATATTGCCATCAGCTCCTCCTGAGGAACAGGAAGCTGAGTCGAAAACAGATGAACCTATGATTATTGAAACAGTATTTCCCCCTCCACCTCTTATTGCACCTTTGCCAGAGACATTCTCTCCTGTTGGTGTGCAGATGATTAGAGAGGAATTGTGCAAGCAAAATCAAGAAATGCAAAAAATAATTCAGAAGTTAGCTGACTTGCCTCCAACTCCATGCAGAGGGGGTCTGTCTGATGCAGACATGTTGTTCTTACAAACTGAGTTGTCTAGGCATAATGCTGAAGTGCAAAAGCTAATAGATCAATTGGCTCACCTGCCTGTGAGGGACAATGAGATTTTACCAGGGTTGAAAGAGTTAACAGCAAATGGCAAAAGTCCGACCGAAGAGGAGCAAAGAGAATTAGAATACTGGAGGAGGATATGCAATGAGAACCAGGCGCAGCAAGCTCTGACCTCAAAGCCCAACCCACATAATTCCAACACTCTCCCTAATCCACAGGGCTCAGATAGGGACCCCCCTGATGTGGTTCAACAGTGGCATGGAGTAATTCAAAATGCAATCATCAAAGGGGACTTTATGCTTAATGCTACTGCCTTCCCTGTTCAGGTGATAGGGGGACATTTGGAGTGATGGCGTCTGTCTTTCCAAGTAACCGTTATGCGTAATGGAGCCCTGCTTTCCTGGGGATGGCTGAGCACCTGCCTGCCCATGAGAAGTGGTGAATGAATTCCTTGCTTTGCTTTGCTTGCACACGTGGCTTTTGCTTTCCCTGTTAAACTGTCTTTATCTCAACCCATGAGATTTCTCACTTTTACTCTTCTGATTCTCTCCCCCACCCTACTGTGGGGGGAGAGAGCAAGTGGCTGCGTGGTGCTTACCATAACAGTCCCTTCTGGCATGAAAGGTGTATCTGAAAACACAGAGTTGACAGAATCGGAGTCAGATTTTGTTCAAGTAGTTTTTAGGATACTCTCAACTATGATATGGGGCCTTTGATAACCGCCGTGGCGATGTGCCTGGGCTGGCAAATGGCCAGGGCATCACTGCCGTTTCTGTGCTGCTGTGCTGGACAGGCTGTGGATAAGTCCAAGCCAGAGCAGGGGCAAGAGGAGGAGTTCATAGCAATGCTAAACCTTAAGGTCTTGTCCAAAGAGACCAGGAGTGGAGATTGTAATGACTATACCTTTACATTGTTGTAACCCATTATTTGAGTTGTATGTTATAGGAATTACTACAGCAAGAACCACCTGAACCAACGGAGGACAAGCCTTACAAGAAGCAGTGCAAGTGCAGCAGTGACCTGACCTGAGCTGGCTTTGGTGCCCAGTAACTTCACACAACGCACCACCTCTGCTTGTCCTGAGTGACCAGCATAAGAGATGGAGCCCAAAGTCATGGACTAAATTAACTCAATGGACATTTTGTGGACATTTCTGGACATCTTACAAAGGCAGTCCATAGACTAAGGGAATGATATTTGTGTAATATATTAAAGGATGGGAAGGGGGTGGTTGTTAATGAGGATGTATTGTATGTGTGGGACCTGAGCATGATGTAAATGGTATGGAATAAGGGGTGGATACTGTCCTGGTTTTGGCTGGGACAGAGTTAATTTTCTT